GCAGCAGCAACAACAGTAGCAACAGTAGCAGCAACAGCAGCAACAGTAGCAACAGTAGCAGCAACAGTAGCAGCAACAGCAGCAACAGTAGCAGCAACAGTAGCAGCAGTAGCAGCAGCAGTAGCAGCAGCACCTTCCCCCACCCCCATTCCCTCGGATGTCTCTCTGCGTGGTGAGGCGCTAATTGCGAGGTGCGCCCCCACTCCCCCCCTCCACCAACTCGCCCCCCCACCCACCACCACAACCCACGATCTTCCATCCCCCAGATTCCAACACCCCCCCCGCCTCCACGGCCCCAGGCCCCACCGCCTCCTCTTGTAACCGCAAGCGGAAACTGAAGGCTCGATTGAAGTCGGGCAGGAGACGCGGCGGCGTAGCTGAAATTGTTATTGTTATGAATGTCGGGAGTTGTAGGGGGGTGGGGGGGGGGGGGTGCATTGTTAGTGAGTGGTTCTATTCCGGATTCCTCGACACTCACCCTCCTGCCCGCGCCCCCCACCCCGTCCCCTTTCATCCACTCGCCCAGCTGTCGTGTGTTGAGCACTGATAGCTTCCTGCCCCCCACCCCCACCCCGCCCTTATGCCCGCACCCCCCTGCTGGAGTGTAAATTCGAATATAGAGGAGAAAGGGAGGAGGGGAGGGGCATCTATAACATCAGAGGGGGGGGGGCGGTGGAGTCGGTGCGTCTGGCAGGTCCACCAGCATTTCTCTCTCCTCGTTGAGTGATCGTTTGTGTTCAGATCTCTTCTGGTCAAGAAGCTCACAGCTTAGTGGACTTCACCTGGCACGATAAAACAAGAGTTCTTAGCATTTGTATATCGTTTTTCATGGATTTGATTACCTTTCCTATACTGTGCACCGCTATCGTGTTCGCATCTCCGATTAGCAGGGTTGTCTCGGTACGGTGCGAAAGAAGTTCAACAAACAATACAGGGAGGGGAAGGCTGCCGTTGTTCCGCTGAGGTCTGAGCCGCAGGCAGAGGAGAAAGGAACGCGAGGGGAGTCTGCGTCTCTCACCAACAACACACGAGGCGCGGGTTTAGTGAAGGCGATGAGAGCATAAGATGTCCGGTAGACCAATTGATTCAGCTGCACTGGGCTTAACTCTAAGACTCCATGGCCCTATCGGGCATCTGTAACAAAGAGCTTCATGGCTCTTCGGATTCCTCCTGCAGAATAAATTCAAAATTCAGATTCTGCTGATCATCGCGCGATGGTGTGAGCAAGCTATTTGCAGGGCTGCGCTTTTACGTACGGTGCAAAAAAAGTTCAACATCCATACCTACACAGGCAGCATCGTCGCCGCCACCATTCATGGGAGAGCAGCACTCATGAGGATTGGAACGATTGTCAGCAGAACTCCAGGACCGTCTCTCTCCGCATAGAATTGCAGATGTGGTTCAGTCCATCGGACTGCTGACGGCTTGTCCAGGCTGAAAATGACAACCAGTCTTTGTTTAAAGAAGCGAATTCTTTAGCGGGTTCAACTTTCTGGGTCTCATCAGCAGCGCCATGCTCGTTCAACGAATCCGTTTGAGCTCCTCAGCGGTGGAGTGAAACGAATTGCGATCGGAAAGATCCGGGGTGGACTATCATCATCTTTATCACCGAGGGTCGATAAAATGAACCGCACTTTATGGGGAAGTTAACCACGGCTGTCCTATAGAGAGACTTGCCCCACCCCCGTCATAGGAATGTGGAATGTTTACCACTTGCTCGGGGCTATAAACGGAGCATTAGGGCCTGCTCAGCTCGTTTGAGCGGGCAACCATTTTGACCTTTATAGAAAAATCATTCTGGGGTCCTGTCCAATGCAAACTGCATCACGATGATGATAATGATGATGAGGGAGATAGTGGTGAGGAGTATGATGATGACGGGAATGGTGGTGAGGATGATGATGAGGGAGAGGAGGAAGATGAGAGGGAGGCGGAGGATGGTGGTGATGGGGATAATGATGTTAGAGGATAAGGATGGTGGTGATGAGGATAATGATGTGGAGGATAAGGATGGTGGTGGTGAGGATAATGATGTGGAGGATGAGGATGGTGGTGGTGAGGTTTATGATGTGAAGGATGAGGGTGGTGGTGAGGAGGATGATGATGAGGGGAATGGTGATGAGGAGAATGATGTGGAGGATGAGGATGGTGGTGATGGGGGGGGGATGCAGAGGAGGGGTCCTGGCGTGGCGCCCGCGCGCGTCATGGGAGGGCGCACACGGTGCCCGGCGCTCGTATCGTGCCAATTAACTCCGTCATTAGCCGCACGGGGGGGGAGGGGGGGACACAAACACGCTATCCGGATATCCTCCTCCCCGCCCCCTCCGCCGCGTGTTTGTTTACGAGACAGCAGAGGCAGCAGAGAAGAGCGGACTGCGTGATTCATCGGCACGGGGTGGTTAGGTGGGTGGGAGCAGGGTCGTCCCTGGGGAGGGGCGAATCGGGGTGACCGCCCCGGGCCCCTCGCTTTGGGGGGGGGGGTTGGGGGGGGGGGCACGGTGGGATTTTCCCAGGGCTATGTATCCCCCTTATGGGCGGCCCTGGGTGGGAGAAGCTGCGCTGGTGGGGGGGGGGGGGGGTGTACGAGACGGAGGTTACTCTGCGTGGTGTCCGGCATGATGTCCGACGTTTCGCTCTGGCAACTGAATTGAGACGTTAACATTGTCCAGTCTCGGCTAGCTCCTCGTCCGGCAGGCGAGGAGGCTGCGTTGGCTGGGGTCGTGTGGCTCGCATGCCCAGCCACCGCATGCCCAGCCACCGCATGCCCAGCCACCGCATGCCCAGCCACCGCGTGCCCAGCCACCGCGTGCCCAGCCACCGCGTGCCCAGCCACCGCGTGCCCAGCCACCGCGTGCCCAGCCACCGCGTGCCCAGCCACCGCGTGCCCAGCCACCGCGTGCCCAGCCACCGCGTGCCCAGCCACCGCGTGCCCAGCCACCGCGTGCCCAGCCACCGCATGCCCAGCCACCGCATTCCCAGCCACCGCATGCCCAGCCACCGCATTCCCAGCCACCGCGTGCCCAGCCACCGCGTGCCCCAGTCACCGCATGCCCAGCCACCGCGTGTCCAGCCACCGCGTGTCCAGCCACCACATGCCCAGCCACCGCATGCCCAGCCACCGCGTGCCCAGCCAACCGCGTGCCCCAGTCACCGCATGCCCAGCCACCGCATTCCCAGCCACCGCGTGCCCAGCCACCGCGTGTCCAGCCACCGCGTGTCCAGCCAACGCATGCCCAGCCACCGCATGCCCAACCACCGCATGCCCAGCCACCGCGTGCCCAGCCAACCGCGTGCCCCAGTCACCGCATGCCCAGCCACCGCATTCCCAGCCACCGCGTGCCCAGCCACCGCGTGTCCAGCCACCGCATGCCCAGCCACCGCGTGCCCAGCCACCGCGTGTCCAGCCACCGCGTGTCCAACCACCGCGTGCCCAGTCACCGCATGCCCGAGCAGCTTCTGTCTGGCCGGACAGACGGGGCTAAACGGGCGGGGCACGGGCTGGAGAAGAGATGGGACTGATGGGGCACGGTGGGGTTGTGGTTACCACCGCTGATGTAAAAACAAAAGTCGGGACGTATCGTGGGAATTTAGATAATTCGCAATCTCAGAAGGGGCCCAGAGCTACATGGCGTGCAGATTTCTCACGACGGTGATCGCCATAGAGAACGATCCCGGGAAAACCTGGACTGATGGCAACCCCGACTCATCGAGACCCAGGGACTCGCACATTGTCCCACAGACTCACACTCGGGTTGCAAACCTCTGTGGTACAAAACCTGGGCTATATTACGGGGGGAAAAGATGAATAAATAAAATCCCCAGGAGAGGGGAGCTGCATGTGGCTGCGTTGTCTTGAGTGGTGGCGCCATCATTTTAGTTACGCAACTGACACGAACCTGGACCTTCACTGTTCCTAGAATACTGCGATTTCCCAAAAGCAGTCGCCGCTGCCTCGCTTAACACGAGGGCAATCCGGGGGAAAACAGGACAGGTGGCAACCCCAGTGAAAGGTACAACGCTGGGGGTGGAGGGGGTGGTATGCGACGGCGGGGGGGGGGGTCGAGGGGGGTCGTTTTGTTTTTTGCGTCGTAAATGAGAACGTCGGATTGACTGAACGCACGTGGCCAATTAGCGACGACCCGTCATATCCATCGCCTGAGGCAACGGGGGGGGGGGGCATGGGGAGGATGAGGTGGGGGTGGGGGGCAGTTGCATCGCACGTGCGCGCGCGGATGTTCCCAGCCCCCCCTCCTCCCCCCCAACTTCGACCCCCCCCCATCCTCTAAGCGTCTCTCCTTCCTTTCCCCAGCCTCCTCACCATTCTTACCGCGACAGCCCTCACCACCCCTGCTAAGCCCCCCCCCGCCGCCTGCGAAACAACCATTACTCCCCCCTCCTTCCCCTCTTAACCCCTCCACCCCCTCCACCCCCACCACCCCCTCCATCCCCTCCACCCCCACCATGTTCTGCCGCAGTAACATCCGCTCATCTGGACGTGCGCGCAGGCAAAGCTTAATTGGGGAAGAGCTCGGGTGGTGGACGAGGTGGGGGGGGGGACGAGTGGGGGGGAGGGGATAGACGAGGTCGACGAGTGGGGGGGGGGGGGGGCAGATTTGTAGAGAGTGGAGGGGGAGGTGAATCTCTGAGCCACGTGTAGAATTTGTGTGGTATGAGTGGTGAGTGTGTGTGGTGAGTAATAAGTGTGAGTGAGTGGTGTGTGTGAGTGGTATGCGAGTGCCGTGTATGTGGTGTGTCAGTGGTCAGCGTGAGTGATGGTTGGCGTGTATGAGCAGTGAGTGTGTGGTGAGTGTGTGTGGCGAGTGTGTGTGGTGAGTGTGAGTGGTGGTTGAGGTGTGTGAGCAGTGAGTGTGTGGTGAGTATGTGTGGTGAGTGTGAGTGGTGGTTGGGGTGTATGAGCAGTGAGTGTGTGGTGAGCGTGTGGTGAGTGGCGAGTGGCTCTCCGCGCCGTGTATGTGTCTCTCCGTGCGTGAGACTTGATCTCAAATCAAATAAGTGCTCTCTTTATTGAACCATCACGGATACGCGGAGTTCACACGGAGCGGGCGCGACCACAACAGAAATCACGAACGCGGAGGGGTCAAAGGCCGAAGATATCACGACGCGAGTCTTCTATATCTATGAACAGGTCATCTTGTCTTCATCAAGCATCATCATCATCATCTCCATCATCACCACCATCATCATAACATTTGTACCGCGTCCCCCCTCGGAGGTAGGGGACCTGACCTCCCCGCTCCCCCACCTGACCCGCTTTGTGACCAGCGGTGTGAGCGCTAGGACACTGGGCACCCTTGTAAACGAGACGTCCTCTCTCCGTCAAATGATCGTCCGTGTGGAAATGCTTCCACTAAAGATTCAAACCGGAGTGAGCGCCGGTGGCGTGGGTGACACGAGATGCGCGGGTGGCACGGGTGGCGCGGGTGGCGTGGGTGGCACGAGTGGCGTGGGTGGCGCGGGTGGCGTGGGTGACACGGGTGCGAGATGAATTGCCAACCGGCGCGCTCCATCACTCACCACGCGATCGCCGACGAGAAGAGGATAGGCGGGGGGTGGGGGGCAGGCTGAGAAAACCCCCGGATAACCCACCTCCCTCCCCTCCTACAGCCTCTGACTCGCCCCCTCCATCACAAGCCCGCTCGCCATGGACCCCATGACTCCTAACCCGCGCCTGCGTCAACGAATGGATTGATCATCCAGCTCGAAGACCCTCATCCTCACTGGGGGCAGAATCAAGAAGGCCACAGGCATTCCCAGTTCACAGCCCTCTAGAGGTGGTGGGAATTATGCATTTCTACGGCGGGAAGAGTCTTTCCAGAGTGCTGAATCGGAGTTTCAACTCCCTTTGGCGGTCAATCACAGACTAACGGACACGCCTTGGTCGCTATTGTCACTGCAAGAAGGCTCTACAGACACACTTGGCTGGAAACGCAACAATGAGAAACGCAGTTATCATCATCATCATCAGCAGCAGCAGCAGCCATAGTCAATCCACTGCTAGATGAAGACGTCCTCAGGCAATCTCTCTCTCTCTCGATCCAGCGATGTGATGATCCACTCAGCGATGGACGGCGGGAGCCGATTTCACCGCAGTGTTTGATTTCAAACTGCGCGTTGTCGCCAGCTGGAAAGTATTATCTCCCCTCCAGGGCCCGATTAGTGCGGCTGAGGTTCTTGCAGGGACGGGTAACTATCGCTTTTGGGCCGTTTCGAAGTAGCGGTAATCCTCAATGTGGCCGCGCATCAGGTGACGAGCGTGGCCCCGGACCGCGTTTAGACCACGTGCCTAGTGTGGTGCACAGAAAAGAGGTCCCCCACTCCTGCGTGAAGGACAGTGGCGTGACCACGTGATCTCTGACTTGCAGTCTCAAGGCCCCTACTCAGCCTTACCTTGGGTTCGAGCTCAGTATTTGGGGGAAAACAATTCCCAGAAAAGCCCTTACCGAGTCTCACGACTCATTTTGCAAGAGAGTCCTGCTTCATTGGGACATTGGGCCAATTTCCATTTGAACTTTGAACGCGTTTAGGGCCGTGCGCGAGGAATCCAACGAACCCGGAGGAAGAAACCCCACGACTTGTGCACACGCGGAGATAACACTCAGAGCGAAGGTTCACCAATTACACAGATTGGTTCAGGATCCCGCTTGCTGTACTCCTGTCTGTTGGCCCTGGCTACCACCTCGCAGCTTAGCGGGTTTACGAGAGTTCAAAGAGGTCAGCGTGACCCCTAACCATTGCCTCCTTGAATTCAGCCCCCACCCCCCTAAAGGGAGGCGGAGGATGGAGGGCTTAGTAGAAAAGGGGCTTGTGGGGGGTTTTCGTTTGTTAATAAATATAGTTTCCGCTACAGTAGCCGCTACAGTAGCCGCGACAGTACCCGCTACAGTAGCCGCTACAGTAGCCGCGACAGTAGCCGCGACAGTAGCCGCTACAGTAGCCGCTACAGTACCCGCTACAGTAGCCGCTACAGTAGCCGCTACAGTACCCGCTACAGTAGCCGCTACAGTAGCCGCTACAGTAGCCGCGACGGTACCCGCGCCGGCTGAGACGTTCACAACGACGCCCCCCACGTGACACGAACAAAACATCGTCGACGGCACCGAACCTGGACGTGACGTCACCGAATCCGGACGTGACGTCACAATAGGGAGGGGAGTGGGAGGGAGAGAGATGCGAGCGTGGAGTGGAGGATGGGGAGGGGTCGGAATTGTATAAAACGCTGTCACAAGAAGTGAAACAGTTGAAATGCAATCGGATGATCAAAAATCATTCACGGAACTTCCATCCCCTTCCCCCGCATAGCGACCGCGTGTGGCGTGCGTGGAAGGGAGCGGGGAGGGGGGGGGGTGAGCGGGGGGGCACGGGCCCACTAAACCTCATCGTACCGATTCCTGCAACAGCAGGGTGTGTGTGGGGGGAGGGATTCACGTGGCGCGAGTCTCTACATTAGCTGGGAGAGGTGAATGGCGGCGAAGTTGGGGGGGAGCATTATATACAGCGGCGGGGGGGGAGGGGCAAGGCAGTTGGGGGAGGGGCGCTGTGAACAAGAAACCTTGAATGGCAGTGTACAATTGGGGGGGGGTGCGTGGCGTTAGGGATGGGGTTATGGGGAGTAGGGAGGTAGGAGGGAGGGGGGCTCGGGGCTGATTCTTAGCGGTGAGATAATTCAACAACTGCCCCCCCCCCGTGTATTAATGTAGCGTCCTCTAGCGGCTGCAGGGGCGACGTGAATTGAGTCTAATCCGGATGACATATTTACATCCCCTCTTGATAAATGCGCTTCTGGACGATTAGTCGATTCCATTAATCGATTAAGAGAGTCCGTGTGATGTATGATAAAAGGGGACCGTAGGGTAAGGCGAGTCGGGAGGACCCTGGGGAGGGGGGTCATGGGGAGGGGGAAGGAGGGAGGGGGGAGGGAGGGGGGCGGAGGGGGCTATGGGGAGGCGGGGTGAGGTGCGGTGAGCGGGTGAGAGAGGGTCGAGAGCCCGTGGTGGTGCGGCGCAGGTGATGGTGGTGATGGTGGCGAGGCTCCACCGCGTCAGTACGGCCTCCACACGGCCTCCTCCAGGCGGCCCGACGACAGGCTGGTGGGTGAGCTGCCCTGGCTGCCCTCAGGGTCATGACCCCCGGCGTCCTGGTGCGCGGAGGGCAGCGCAGGGTTATTGATCAGCGGTCCCGTAGCGAGTGGCCGCTCCTCGCCCACCGCGCCGGGCTGCTGCTGCTGCTGCATCACAGGCGGCGGGAACTGGTAGCTGCTCGTGGAGGGCGCGGCACCGTAGTAGAGGTGCTGGAAGGGTGCCGGGGCGGCCGCCTGGAACGCCGAGCCCTGACCCTGTCCCTGCTGCGAACCCGGGTACGGCGGGGGGAGGTGGTGGTACGAGGCGGCAGCCGCCGCGTGGTAGCGCGCGGCCGCCGCCGCCGCCGCCACCGCGGCCGAGGCGGCCGGCCCGCCGCCCATGGGCGACATGCCCAGGCCGAGGGCCGAGGAGGCCGCCCCCCCCGGGGTGTAGGCGAAGGCCCCCGGGTAGTGGACGCGCGGGTCCCCGAAGCGACCCTCGGGGAGGGTGGAGAGGCCAGCGGCAAACTGCGACTCGAGAGAGACGCGCGGTGGCGCTGAGAAGGCGCCCAGCTCCGACGAGGCTGTTGGGATTGTGGGGGGGACAGGGGTAAGGGGGGCGGGGAGGGGAGGGGGTGGGAGGTGGTCAGATGAGAAGGAGTGGTGAGAGGTAGGGGGAGAGTGGATGAGAGATGGAGGGAGATGAGATGGATGGGGTGAGTGGTAGGAGGAGAGGAGGGTGGGGGGTGGTGCGGGGGTAGAGGGTGGATTGAGGGAAGATCGGAGAGGCGAGAGGAAAGATGGAGGGGTGAGAGATATGGAGGAGGGAGGAAAGGGTTTTTCGTGGTCAGGTGATCTGGGTAGTCACAACAAGGCTGAGAAAACTCGCGACTCTCAAACTCCGCGCGCACGCGGGGCTGATGATTCCCACCAAGGACGAGTCTCGCTGCGTGATGGTGATGATGATGTTGGTGATGGTGGTGATGGTGGTGATGGTGGTGATGGTAGTATTGATGATTGTGTGCTATGAATGTGAGTGCGTCTGTGTATTGTGGGGAACGGTAGTGCAGCAGTTAGCGCACTGCACTACGAACCCGGTGACACGAGTTCAATTCCCACTCACGGTCAACACCAGTGACGATTATCAGAACCGGTCTTGAGCCTCCTCTGGGTCAACTCAGCCTCAAATTAGTACCTGGTGCGGTGTGTAAACATCGCCACTTGGGAGACAAAGGCGGTCGGGCGTGGTTCTAGCCACCCACCCCCTCGTGCGCCGCGTCGGTCTTCATAGGTGTGCTACTCGCTAACAGCACTTGCCCCGATAGTCTGCTGAAGTCTATATGGGGGATCTTTGTTTTTGTGTGCACATGTGTTGTATGAGTGATATATGTTCCTGTGAACTACACTCATCAATTTCTCTATCCGTGTTGAGGTCTCAGTCTGCCAGACACCGACTGTGTCGTCTCTCTTCCATCAAACGGTGTTCAACCGCCCCCACACAAGTCACAACAACTCACTTACTTATTCAACCACTCACTCACTTACCCACTCACTCACTCACCTACTTACTTATTCAACCACTCACTCACCCGCTGACTTACCTAATCACTCACTCACTTACCCACTCACTCACCCACTCACTCACCTACTTACTTATTCAACCACTCACTCTCCCGCTGACTTACCCAATCACGCACGAGCTCACGCACACACACTCACCAACTCACCCTCTCATCCGCTCACTCTCTCATCCAATGAGTCTGTCGCACACTCGACCACCCACCCACTAACCCACTCACTCACACACTCAATGCTCATCTACTCATCCCCTAACTCTCCCACCAAAACAGCCCATTGCTGGTCACAACAACACAATCACTCAGCCACGAACTCACTGACCCACCCATTCACTCACCACACTGCAAGTGACCTCACTGATCGCTCTCGCTGCTTCTTCCTTCGTACCGCTACACTCTGGAATTCCCTCCTCCTTCCATCACCATCATCGCCATCGTGGCATCTCACCCCCAAAACTCTTAGAGCAATAATCTCGCTCAATTCAAGACACGCGCAAAAACTCGTATCCATCACAACGTGTGCTCAGAGTGCTGTTTGTTGCTAGCCGCGTGTTGGGCTGTGTAAAATACACGTACAGAGTGGACATGGGCAGGGTGCGTGGGAGGGGGCGGTGTAAGGGACGAGGGAGGGGGGGGAGACGAGGGAGGGGGGGAGACGAGGGGTGTGAGTCGAGGTGGGGGTCGGAAGTGGGGTGTGGGTTGCGGGGTGAGTCGCGATTCGAGCCAGGTTACGGGCACAGGAGGCTCTTGTGTGGGTACCCCCCCCCCGCCCCCCTGCCCCCCGCGCCCCCCTGCCCCTCGCCCCCGCGGCGCGTGACGTGGAGGGGCGGGGGTGGCAGAGGGGGGGGGGGCAGAGAAAGTTTAGGAAACAGCGCTGTTTGTTTTTGCTTTGCACGTGCGCGCCTGTGTGTGTCAATGTGAACGTGTGTGTGTCAATGTGAACGTGTGTGTGTCAATGTGAACGTGTGTGTGTCAATGTGAACGTGTGTGTCAATGTGAACGTGTGTGTGTTAATGTGAACGTGTGTGTCAATGTGAACGCGTGTACGTGTGTGTGTCTGTCTGTGTGTACGTGTGTGTGTCAATGTGTACGTGTGTATGTCAATGTGAACGTGTGTGTGTCAATGTGAACGTGTGTGTGTCAATGTGAACGTGTGTGTGTCAATGTGAACGTGTGTGTGTCAATGTGAACGTGTGTTGTGTCTGTCTGTGTGTACGTGTGTGTGTCAATGTGTACGTGTGTGTGTCTGTCTGTGTGTACGTGTGTGTGTCAATGTGTACGTGTGTGTGTCAATGTGAACGTGTGTGTGTCAATGTAAACGTGTGTGTCTGTGTACGTGTGTGTCAATGTGAACGTGTGTGTGTGTTAATGTGAACGTGTGTGTGTCAATGTGAACGTGTGTGTCAATGTGAACGTGTGTGTGTTAATGTGAACGTGTGTGTCAATGTGAACGCGTGTACGTGTGTGTGTCTGTCTGTGTGTACGTGTGTGTGTCAATGTGTACGTGTGTATGTCAATGTGAACGTGTGTATGTCAATGTGAACGTGTGTGTGTCAATGTGAACGTGTGTGTGTCAATGTGTACGTGTGTATGTCAATGTGAACGTGTGTGTGTCAATGTGTACGTGTGTGTGTCTGTCTGTGTGTACGTGTGTGTGTCAATGTGTACGTGTGTGTGTCAATGTGAACGTGTGTGTGTCAATGTGAACGTGTGTGTCAATGTGAACGTGTGTGTGTCAATGTGTACGTGTGTATGTCAATGTGTACGTGTGTGTATCAATGTGTACGTGTGTGTGTCTGTCTGTGTGTACGTGTGTGTGTCAATGTGTATGTGTGTGTGTCAATGTGAACGTGTGTGTGTCAATGTGTACGTGTGTGTGTCTGTCTGTGTGTACGTGTGTGTGTCAATGTGTACGTGTGTGTGTCTGTCTGTGTGTACGTGTGTGTGTCAATGTGTACGTGTGTGTGTCAATATGAACGTGTGTGTGTCAATGTAAACGTGTGTGTCTGTGTACGTGTGTGTCAATGTGAACGTGTGTGTGTGTTAATGTGAACGTGTGTGTGTCAATGTGAACGTGTGTGTGTCAATGTGAACGTGTGTGTCAATGTGAACGTGTGTGTGTTAATGTGAACGTGTGTGTCAATGTGAACGCGTGTACGTGTGTGTGTCTGTCTGTGTGTACGTGTGTGTGTCAATGTGTACGTGTGTATGTCAATGTGAACGTGTGTATGTCAATGTGAACGTGTGTGTGTCAATGTGAACGTGTGTGTGTCAATGTGTACGTGTGTATGTCAATGTGAACGTGTGTGTGTCAATGTGTACGTGTGTGTGTCTGTCTGTGTGTACGTGTGTGTGTCAATGTGTACGTGTGTGTGTCAATGTGAACGTGTGTGTGTCAATGTGAACGTGTGTGTCAATGTGAACGTGTGTGTGTCAATGTGTACGTGTGTATGTCAATGTGTACGTGTGTGTATCAATGTGTACGTGTGTGTGTCTGTCTGTGTGTACGTGTGTGTGTCAATGTGTATGTGTGTGTGTCAATGTGAACGTGTGTGTGTCAATGTGTGCGTGTGTGTGTCTGTCTGTGTGTACGTGTGTGTGTCAATGTGTACGTGTGTGTCAATATGAACGTGTGTGTGTCAATGTGTACGTGTGTATGTCAATGTGTAAGTGTGTGTGTCAATATGTACGTGTGTGTGTCAATGTGAACGTGTGTGTCAATGTGTACGTGTGTGTCTGTGTACGTGTGTGTGTCAATGTGAACGTGTGTGTGTCTGTGTACGTGTGTTTCAATGGGAATGTGTTTGTCTGAGGAGCGGTGGTGTAGCGGTTAGCGCGCTCCGCTACGAACCCGGTGACCCGGTTTCGTTTCCCTCTCACGGCCAACACCAGTGTCGATTATCTGAACCGGTCTTGGGCCTCCCCTAGGTCGACTCAGCCTCAAATAAGTATCTGGTGTGTTGTGTAAACACATCCCCGCTGGGGAGACAAAGGCTGCCGGGCATGGTGCTGGCCACCCACCCCCTCGTGTACCGTGTCGGCCTTCATAGGTGCTCGCTAACAGCACTTGCTTCTATCGCCTGTTAAGGCTATACGGGGGATCTTTGTCTTTTGTGTGAGTGCGTGTGCGTTCATGTGAGCGTGGGCAGCAAAGTTCAGCGGTGAGCGCGATGGGCTCCGAACGTGGCGACCCGAGCTCGAATCCGAATTAATTGAACCGGTCATGGGCCTCCTCTCGGTCGACTCAGCCTTAAACGAGTATCCGGATGCGGTGTGTTGGTAAACATCAGCATTGTGGAGACAAAGGCGGCCGCGGATTCTCTCGTGTGCCATGTTGGCCTTCACAGGCACTTGCCCTAAACAGCCTGCAAAGGCTATAGGGGAGACCTTTGTCTGTTGTGTGAGACGCGGTGGCACGCGCTGTCATTTTTTTTGCTGGTTCCAGGAGCGACGCCAACACAAACCCCGATGACTTTTGAGGAGGAGACGACACGTAGTCATCAGTCTTAATGCTCACAAACACTCGGACACACACACAAACACTCGTACACACACACACACAAACACTCGTACACACACAAACACTCATACACACACAAACACTCGTACACACACAAACACTCGTACACACACACACACAAACACTTGTACACACACACAAACACTCGTACACACACACACTGACTTATACATACACCCTCATAACATACATCCTCATACACTCACTCATACGCGCGTACACAAAAGACAAAGATCCCCCGTATAGCCTCTAACAGGGTGTAGGGGCAAGTGCTGTGAGCGAACACCTATAAAGGCCGGCACGGCACACGACGGGGTGGTTGGCCCTCATCACGCCTTTGTCTCCTATTGGCGATGTTTCCACACCGCACCAGATACTCATTTGAGGCTGAGTCGACCTAAGGGAGGTCCAGGACCGGTTCTGATAATCGTCACTGGTGTTGGCCGTGAGAGGGGATCGAACTCGGATCTCACACTCGTACACACAC